TAGAAAAAATTATCACTTTAATGGACAAATTCCATAAAAAAAGAAGCCAAATGGATACCAAACTTTCAACATTTTCCATGGAAAATTATACCAATCAAACACAATTAATTACAATTCCCAGTAAAACATTTTCTAGGAAAATCAATTCCCTGTGAAACATTTTCTTTCCACCCATTTTCCAACTTTGCAATCAAACGGACCCTAAAAGTTTCTTCATTGTTAAAAAAAAAAAAACTCTTCCCGGCGGATCCAACACGAGCGGCCGCCATGGCTCGCCGGGTGCTGGGTCCGTCATTGACCATAACGAACACCACGTCTCTCTCTACTATTCATGAAGCTTCTGCTATCTCTACAATACCAGGTCTTCAAATTAAGCTTACGCTTAGATAACAGAATAATACTCCTTCATACAACTCCCAATCACCGCCATTATCACCGAAACTTCATCGTGAAATAGTCGTATTACATTTTAGCTTCAACCTTAGGAATACTTAAAATGGTTAGAACTTGTAGTGTTGATGTGAAAATAAAAGAGAAAAAGGAAAAGGAAAAGAGGAAGAAAGTTGTCGAAGATTCTTCTTCACCAAAGAGATTGAAAATGTCGACATTTGGCTGGAAATCCATGACGAATGTGATATCTGATATTCTGACATGATTTGTGAAATTTGTGACCTATTTTTTATTAATTTGTGAGCCGATTTGGGTATTTTGTGACCGGAATATCATTTTGTAACATGTTCGAGGTATTTTGCAATTTGAAGAGTTTGTGACTTGTGTTGTATAATATTTGATCGACTACCATTTATGTGAACTGAATATATTTTGAAAAGTGTGTTGGATTGTTTGTGACTGAAATACATGTTGTGACCTGTCTACTCTTTTATGTTATGATTTTGGAGAATTTGTAACATGATAATAAGGTCCATGAAGGGGTATTACAGCTTGTGAAGACTCTTACATATTTGTTGAAAGAGATCGGATTGTGGATGGAAACTAGTGATGATAGGGGTGACATATCCAGGGAGTTGTAGATTAACATTTTCAGTGGTTTACCTCAACAACAAAATGGGTAAGTTTCGTTATGAGCATTACAAGTTGTGTCATTTTTTATCAATGTTTTGTAGTTACTTATACTTCGTCTACTTTAAATATTACGAGCATGATTGTGGTGTTTTTGCCATAAAGTAGGCACAGTATTTGTTGCACACTAATCTTGCCAAAATGCCCATGTCATTTGATATTGGGAATACTAGGCTTGAAATCGCAGCGTTGCTGTTCAAAAAAATACAAATGAGGCAGGTTAGAAGGGGAAATTGAAGTCAGGATACTCAACTAATGTTGATGGATTTGTTTTATGATGGATTAGGTTATGGCTATTCAAAATTAGACAAATAGATGTTTTTATGGAGTCAATAGATGTTATCTTTATCTTTGTAATATGTTTTGAAGTTGAATGCGAATTTATTTTTATAAGTAGTTTGTACAATGGATGAATATTTTTATTACATTTACGTGAATGTGATTTTGTGAATGGTTTTGTTTGTATCATCTAGGTAATGGTCTTTATAGAGGTGGAAGTTTATATTTGCGTGTGTCTGAACAAGTTACAACTGGCACATACGGTTAACGTGTTACATAATAGCAGGTCACAAATAGTCACAAATAACAACAATTGTTTAACCTTTTACATACCAATAGGTCACAAATGGTCACACTTGCTTAACAGGTAGGAGTTACACAGACTTCGTCACATCTAGTCGAAGAGGACATTCAGAGTTAGGTTGAACACATAATAGGTCAATTAAATTCAAATTTTATTCATAGTCGGTTACAGACAACCATAGTAAAACAAAAAAACCTATAGCTTATTACCACCATGTTGTGCTAGAACTAGGTCACAAACGGTCACAATCATCACAAACAGAGTCATAATCAATGTTTGGTTACACAACACTTCCCAAAAACACATGTGACATCATAAAATGCAATCTAAGCTCACTGCATAAATATGTCAACTCACATAATCCAAACAATACACACAGCTACTTATGCATGATCAATCCCAAATTCTGAAATAACAAGTTCAACCAGTTCATCATATTTACACATGTAGTTCACTAGGATAAGTGACTTGTGACCTCCGTATAAAAGGCAAACGTGCAAAATTGTCATCCCTATCACACAAATAAAAACATTTCACATTTAATTCATTAAAATTAGGAAACATTCATATGTAATAGAGACGGGCAATGTGGAGATACCAAGTTACAGTTAGTCACAAATAACTAAAAAAAAGATACATAATTTTGTATTTAAATACAATAGTACAACATACAAAAAAAATAAGTCACACATAGATCAGTTCAAGCCACATATTCACATTTAATGTGGACATATTGACATACAGTCAACACACGTAAGGTTACATAGAGTCAATTCAATGCAAGGGCATTGGTCACAGATTAGGATAAAGAAGTCACGGATGGATCAATACAGGCTCCAGAAATTCACATTTAATGTAGACATATTCACATATAGTCAGCACATGTAGGGTCACAAAGAGCCAATTTCAATGCAATGACATTGGTCACGAATTAAACTAATTTCAGGTATGGACGCCACAACATTTAATAGATAGGTCACAAACTATTTAATTCGGTGATTACAACTAGTCACAGCTAACAGTAATATGTATCGATGTGAATGAAGCACAACTACGATCACAAATAGTCATATTGACATTACACAATGGTTACAGATCAACATGTTCAGAACTATAAATTGATAATAAAAAAATACATACTATCAATGGTTAATAAGAAAACACACATCACACATTGGGTAAAATGCAACATATTTCTCAAAAAGAGAAAAATATGATCATGGTTAGAAAAAAATTTCATTCGGTTCAAAAGCATCAATGTCTACAAAATCATAAGCTTGTGAGAACCTTATTATATGCTTACCTTCTAAATTAGATTACAAAATTTTTATTTTTGCTTTGGAAAAATCCAATTACTCTACAGAAGAACTTCAACTTTTCTAGAACAATTAATATCAGAAGTAGGTCGACAGGATTGTGACTTTATTCATTGATTTTGGTCTAAATCGAGGATTAATTGTGAAATTGCAATGATTTTGAAGAGTTTTCTGGAGCTGGATGTGTAGATGGAAAAACATTATTTGATTGTGAGAGGGAAGTGAGAAATATCTTTTAAATATGATAGAATAACTGATTTGTAGAAAGTAATGTAGCACGGCATACTTACTCCAAATTTAGTGTATATTATATTATAATTATATATTTAATAATTTGATTTACAACTGATTTATGAAAGCTTTTAGGGAGTTTGTTAGTTATGAAATGTGATTCTTGTAGTGTAGTAGTTATGTTGTGTTCCTTAATCTATTTCTTAGTAGTATAAAAATGTTCTATCTTATGTACTTTGGACCACTTGTTATATCAAATCTTTTTCGAAAACAAATTTTAATAAAAACTATAAGTTAATGAATTAAATAGTAGTCGCAACCATTAAGCGGAGACAAAAATCATTGAGTAAATATTTATTTGAACTCACAAGGTCTTTCCTAATGTTAAT